GAATGGTGGGTTCTAAGTCTGGTTTAGGTGCTTGTGGGAGTATACGATGTAAGACACAGGCAGGGGTTCATGGTCCCCGTATCTGGGCCTTTATCCTATAAGACCTGGGTGCATCCCCACATGCACTTTTGCTTTGTACTCGTGGTCCCCACGGGCATGCTGGGCAGTTGCTGCCATTTCGTGACTAAGAAAGCGGTTTGGAGTTCGATTGTGGTTGTTAAGGCGAGAAATGCCTGGCCTGAGGCAGGAGGGTTCAGAGTTGATTCTGACGGAACAGCTGGGACGGAGAGCTACGAAACAGAGATAGAATTCTCTCGGCTTCTACGGACCTGATCCCTCTAAACCAGACACAGTATTGCAGTCGCTAGATTATTATGTATCTCATACCTCGTCAAGGCCGTATGCTAGACCGGAGAAAACGCGATTGAACCGAATGGTGTAATTGAGATCGTTGGGAGGAATTGACAGGCCTCTATAGAGGAACAATTCAGGCCGACAGGCCGCTGGCTTCGCCGTGCGCAAGTTAAGCACTTTTGCCGCCCCATCGACAGTCACCTTGCAGCTGGGCTTCGGTCCTATCTTCCGTCGTGCTCTGTAAATACCCCCGGCCTCCAGAATGTTCCTTGTTCCGTTTTGTTGGCACGCCGCACATACATATCCATCGTCTTGTGATTCAGAGCTGACCAGCACACTCCCTGTGGTACCATGTATAACAGGTTGAGCAGGAGACACCGCCTCCGTCGGGGCTGTGCCCTTCCCCACAGCATGGTATTGAGAAATCAAAACTCCGCACAAGAACTCCTTCCAGTTGAGGAAGAGATGAACAATACCATCTATCCACTGCGGCAGATGCTCGAGCAAACGAGATTACGTCCCTGGGCGCCAAGGCTTTGAGTATTCTATCAAGAATCTCAGTGGGTATGTTGACCCCCCATTCTTCCCTGTTGGGTTTCTTCCAAGAGTGCGAAGATAGAACAGACGTTAGAGCTCGAAATCCAGGTGAGGGTTGTATGGCGGAAGAGTTGATGACGAGAGGTATGGTCGGCGAGTACTGTACAAATGTACCAGTTATTTCGACGAAAGTAACATAATCTAAAGAGATTAGAACAACATGGATAACAGGTTTTCTACACCGATCCTTATCCAGAAATCTCTGGGTATCTTGGACAGCCTTCTCAAGCGTGTCTGAAGCACTGTATACAGTGACTAAAAGCCCATGAAACCAAAAATTGTTTCCGGACCGAGCCGACCACCTTGGGACAGAGTAGAATCCGATTGGGATCTCTTCTATGATCTCTTCTGGGATCCCTTCGGTGTCTGTGTCAGAGGTTATTTCGAAATCCCATGCAGCAATACGCAGAAGGCCAATGGCAAGGGTCTTTCGAAGAAGCGAGTCATGTGACGGTAGGTCATCAAAATAGAACCGCCACAGAAAAACGAAGCTGAAAACAAACGAAGTTGAAGCTCCATCAAAGACGTGGGCTTTGCGATGTTTATATTGAGCGTTGGTGGCATTGTTAATCCCGTTTCAGTATACTGCTTGATAATATCTTCGGTATCAACAAGAATATCATCTAGGGTACCGACTGAGGGACCTTCGATTGCAGCAAGCTTTGCCTGTCGGATCAACCGGTAAAGTGCACCGCTGATGGCCGTCCATTGAGTTACCGTTATGACTCCTAGGTCCTTATCGATGTTGTATACATAATCTAGGTTGATGTGGAGTGGTGAGGGAAAAGGTATTGCTTCCCAGTCCTCGATGGCAGTCTCCGAGACTACCTTTCTTACGGTTCGCAGAGTAGCAGGTGCGTCTGGAGAAGTTATACGTGCCGTCGGTTTGTGAAACACGCGGTACCACTTCCGTATACAGGATGTCAATTTCGCACACAGCCATTGTCCCATCCCCAGGCTTACCATCGACACGCACATTCCATAAGCCCCGAGTACTCATGTTTGCGATGACTACTCGTGGGCCATGGAATATTGAACGAATTTGTTTTCTTGATGGAGGATGATGAGAGCTAAGTTGAGCATGCAACGGGAGGAGTGACACCGGGAGTCAACCATCCGCTCCGTTGTCGTCGACTGGTAAGTGGCTGGAGGACAGCAGGTCATGTGATACATTCCAGCGCGCCAGTCACTTAGCCGCGATCATATCTTGTCATTTAGAATGATAGGTTATACCTAAAATGATTATAGGGGGATCTCTACTACTCCTGATATATTGCTCAAGTGAATTGCTAGGCTCGCAGTCAAGGTGGCTTTTAGAGCTGAAGTATACGTGGAAGGCAAGTAAGTGGTCAAGTGATTTATACATAATCTGCGTACTATGTATATATTCCGTGTGGTAGTATGGGTATCTGTGACGAATGAACGAAGAGATGATTTATTCCGTAGAAGTCTCAACGAGTATCGGTATCCACACACTGTGAATCTCACCGGCCATATATAATCAACGATGTTCCCTATCAAATATGATGCTTTGATGTCCTTAGAGATGGATGCATGAGACGTGCCGTGCTCTTGTCGCAGATGATCCAAGGAGCCGGGTGCCTCTGCGGACGCTCGTTGGTGGAGAAACTTCGGGAAAGAATCCCTCATTCCCCAATCCCAGCAGTGGCCTCGCCGGAACCTTCGGTGCCTGTCACGATTATGAGATCAATATATAGGACACTCATCTTCTCACTTTCAGGAACGCAGTTGTCTATACCAGTGCAACAGCAAAGATAGGCAAGTATAACTACCGGTCAAGGCTCAGTCAGGTTTGTCAAATTGCTTAGTAGCTGCATCGGTTATCGTTATCGATCGACAAGTTAGGTTGGCCGTAAGCGCTATTACCCCCTCCCCCACTAAGCAGCTCGAAATAAAAGCTTCGTCTCGTTGGAGTGTGCTCCAACTATCTTCAATTCCCTTTGTTCGTCTGCAGGTACTTTTGGACTACAACAACATGGCGAACGGAGTCTCAGCAAATGGGCAGGAGCAGCCCTACAAGCCGTACGATCAAATCCTTCTGTTCGGCGATTCTATCACCGAGTTTGGTAGCAACCAGGATATGGGCTTTGGGTTTCACGCCGCATTGCAGCATGGTGAGTGAAGCTCCCTGAAATCCCTCGGCTTTAGATACTAACTCGTCTGTAGCATACAGTCGCCGCTATGACGTGGTGAATCGTGGCTTAGCGTGAGAACCCATGTGTCGCACTACATCCAGTAACCAAACTGACCCTTCACTGCTCGGACTGTAGCGGTTATGCCACCTGCCACGCCATCAAAGTGGTATCGCAATGCATCCCTCCCCCGGAGAGGGCTAATGTGCGACTCATGGTAAGCCACGATTGAAGCCTCCTTCACGAGATAAAACACCTGGGTAACACTGATTATAGACCCTCTGGTTCGGCGCCAATGATTCCTGTCTCCCCGCTTTCAATCAGTACGTTCCCTTGGAGCAATACAAGGAAAACCTCAAACGCATCATTCAACACCCCGTCACGGTCGCGCAGAACCCGCGCATCCTCATCATTACCCCGCCTCCAATCAACGAATACCAGCTGGAGTTCTTCGACAAGAGCAAGGGGAACCCGCATCCGACGCGCACGAACCAGAACGCCAAAGTCTACGCTGAGGGCGCCCGCGACCTTGCGGCTTCCCTGGGGATCCCGGTCGTGGACGTCTGGACCGCATTCATGACGGCGGTGGGATGGAAAGAGGGTCAGCCGTTGGTGGGGTCGAGGGAGTTGCCGAACGACGAGAAGTTCGCGCGCTTGTTCACCGATGGACTACATTTGACCGGGGAAGGGTACCGCATCGTGTACGATGCATTGATGAAGGCGATTGAGGCAAACTGGCCGGAGATGCTGCCGCAGAATATTCCGATGATTTTCCCTCCCTGGCCTCAGGCTCCGCGGTGAAGAGTTGGTGTCGGTTGTGGAGTGCGGGATTGTATATAGATCAGAGCTTAGGTCAACTGAGAGATCTCCGTCTGCTCTGGATTGCCGCTGCTAAGAACTTAGAGGTCATGAGACTTGGTCAGTGTGATTCAATACATGTATCTGTTAGATGAAAGAACGATGTCAATGATGCACCACGGTAGAAACAAGAATAAATTGGAGGAAGGTCAAAGAAATGGCGATTATGAAAGCGGTCTCGATTCAGCCGAGGGCGGTTGCCGCCGGCGGGTCAAGGTTCCAAGTTGGTTTCCAGGCTGTCGAATTGGGATCCCCTCATGATTTCCAATCCAACGGCACTTCACAACCTCCTCACACTTCCCAGCCTTCCTTCGCTTTTTATCTCACTATTACTCCGATTTGTCCAACTCTCTCACTTACTTACCATAAATCTCGCATTGATCCATTATTTCAGCTCTTTCCTATCAGCCCGCTCACGCCTTCGTTTCCTTGATCCGTCGGAAAGAACCCACCGCCCATCTTCGCCTCTCATCAGACCCCCTCACGCCAGGAATATCTCGCGTGCTCTACTGCTGCTCTAGGAAATACGGATAGAGATCTGTGCTCATAACCACCTCTTGCTCGATCTTCAGACCCTCAACCGCTGACGTGGTCGTCCTCTACGCTGCATCGCTCAACCTCTCCTCCGACGTCTCATCCGTTCCATCCGCATATCAGCTTCCCGCCTTTTCCTTTCCACTCTTATCGTCCATCGTCCGGCACGCTTTGACAGCCACTTCCTTCGTATATCGACCATCAAGAAGTGTTTGTATATGCCTCTAGATTACTTCACGGATATTCGCATTTAGCAGACAGGGTGGACGGCCGTAGGGCCGTCTCACAGTGTACGAGGGAGGAGGAGTTTCGGAGGAACAGCGGACCGTCGGAATCAGCAAGCGGGCCTGACCAGATCACTGAGGACTAGGCGATAACGGCATTTCATACGAAGACCGTGTTGCATGTGTGATAGTTTTGGGGAAATCGTGCCGTCAACATTCTGTTAGAGGTTCCTGGGTCTGCCGCCCATCGCTCCGCTTTGCACACTTTGCACACCTGGACATGGATGCACAGTTCCCTTTTGCCTCACGCGACGACATCTGGCGCGTCTTCGAAGAGATCAAGGAGCTTCACGCCGCCCAGTTTGAACAGGCAGAGCGGATAGCAAGACTCGAGCGGCGCAGAGACGAGGATGCAAGGCTGAGAAGCGTGTGGGGTCCTTTATCGCCATTTCCCACCTCGGTTGGGGGCACAATCCCCGCGGGTATGTGTATTCTTTGTGCCTCATCTCCGGAGTTTGGCTAAGATGTCATCTGTCTACAGAGTCGGTCTTCCATACTCCCTCCGACGCGTTCAGGGGTTTCGATCAGGGAAATCATCACACGGTGGTCAATACCATGGGTCTGGAAACCGAGGAGGAGCCTAGGCGTGGGACCTCACGGGCCAACAGCGTTCGGTTCGACGAGAGTGCCATCCACGGTTACTATGGACAAGCCAGTCGATCAACTAGCGAGCTGCCGTTGAGAACGGGAAGTGGCTTAGGCAGTCACCCTATGACTGAGCGGTCGCTATCGCATCGGTCAGACGGACGACAAAGCTCTTCGGGCCACTCGCACCACTCGGCTCGAACGAATAGTCTAGGCTTAGAGACGACCAGCAGAATGACGGCTTCTTCCGCCGTAGGATCGCCGCTCATTCCCCCGCCCGGCTTTTTCCTTCTTGGACCAGTGCCGTGCATCATCCGGTGCTGGTTGACAACCAACTTTTCCAACGAGTCCCTATTGTATGCGGCCGTCTGCACTGGCTCCTATACCTCTTTACTGGGGTATCCGATGGTCCGGAGATTCGGCTGGGAAGATCAGCTGGTTCAGGACGGCGAGGTGCAGTACATCAAGCTCCCTATTTACCTTCCCGAGGCTAGCGTGCACCAATCCTCCTCGCGGTCCAGTAGCCCTGCCCCCCAGGTTCCTACTTTGACTGTTCGATTCCTGGTTCGTGAGATCGACCCTAGGGACTCGTCCGTGCAGATTGTCCTTGGCAGTGATGTGCTCCGCTCCCACAACGCCGACGTGCTGTTCTCTCAAGATAAGATCATCATGGTCGATGACGAGCGTAATAAGATATCCATCCCTCTTGTCCGGCCCGAGGACGATGCTGTCTTCAAGTCACTATGCACGGCTTCGGATGTTTCACGCGCGGGCTGGAAGGATCGACAACCCGTCCCAGTCGATGCCCCGGCGGACATCAACGGTCATGCGCCTGTGGGTGTCATCGGGCGTCCTGCCAGTGCATCTCGACGAGCGGCATCTACCAGCGACTCAACGCAAGATCTCACGGAAGACTCCGAGGATAGTCGAAAGGCACATCTTTCGGAGACACCGGAAACTTTCGCTGACCCGGAGCCGGTTCAAGGACAGGAAAAGCCTGCCGGGATCGTGTCGAGTGGGCCGGCGCGTGCGGAAGCGTCCGGAGTTTGGGGCTCGTGGAAACGCGATGCCAAAAGCGATCCGAATGCCTCCGCGGCGACGGGCAAGCCTCCTCGGGGCCGTACTATGAAAGTACTGCGGCCTAGCAAGGCGGGATCTCGAACGGTGACGATGACCACCGGCCCGGGCAGCAGCTCGCCGGCCGATGTTGTGCAGCCGACCTCGACTCGCACCTCGCCCGACGGGGGCGTGCGCACTGCTAAACCCTGGGCATCCAACCCGATCGGCGGGGCGTCGGCGTTTGGATGGCTCAATACGGCGTCTCAACCGTCCACTGCGCCTCGTAGCATGACGACTGGCACTGGCTCTAAATGAAATAAATTAGGGCGCAGGGTCCACGGCGTAAATTTCCCCTCCGATTACTTTTGTGTCTGTCTGCAGTGTCTAGTAATGACCATAAACGAAGCAATGTTAAAGGCCTTAACTCTTGCATATTCCTAGTATATACTGGCATATCGTAAGATAACCCTGTCTACAAACACCTCAAACCCAGTCTCTACTTCAACCCAACAAGTAACCCCCCTGGACCCCCTATTTGAAAATCTTAAATCCTAGCCAAAGCCTCCAACGCCCCCCTTGTCTCCTCCTTCATCTCCTTCACCACCCCACTCACCTCCTTGAAGGCAGCATGCCCCGCATCCCCCAGCATCTCAAACACCACCCCCTCGCTTGTCGTTACCGTCGCCCCCGCATCCCGCAACCGCTGCAGCGCCACCTCGCGCTCCTCCGCGTGCGCACTGCTCACCCCGTCCACGATCACGTACACCCGATGGCCCCGACTCAGCAGGTCCAGTGTCGTCTGCGTCACGCAGATGTGCGTCTCGATCCCCACCAGGATCGCGTCCAAGGGCGTCTCGCCTTGCTGCGGGTTGGGCAGCAGGCTGGCCAGCTCGGGCGTGATCATTGAGAAGAGGGTTTTGTCGATGTTGGCGCGGAGTCTGCTTCCAGTGGAGCTGGAGGGCTGGGAGGGGCCCGCGAGCAGGTACGGGGTCAATTCGGAGACGGTGTCGCCGAGGCGGGCGCGGTTTTGGGTCGTTAGGTAGATTGGCACATTTAGGGGTTGCGTGGCGCGCAGGAGTTTGGTGGTTGTTGTTATTCTTTATATTGTTAGTTTTGTGGAGAGGGGGGGGGGGGTTTGGGATTGGGAATTGAAGAGGGGGCCGGGGACGTACACTTTGGGGAATTCGTGGATTACATTGCGGAATTTCTCTTGGATGTCGCAGATGCTGTGTATCGTTAGTTCTTGTTGGTTCTGGGAGGTTGGGTGACTGGGTTGGTTGTGGCTTAATGGGTTAGAGGTGGATGTGTTGGTGAGACGTACAAGAGGGCGGGGTTGCCTGGTGATTTCAGGGTAGAGGGTTAGTTTGATGTTTTCGACGGTAGTAGAAATAGGAGGGGTTAGGATAGGACATACGGATGCGCGTGGCTCGGGTGAGAGTGGCCATTTTTGCAGACTTGAAACTTCTGACACTTTGCTGAGAATGTGGTCAGTGGTAGGGAGGGACGTATTGGGGAGAATTTATGGGGAAGATCAGCAGGAGATTGCAGTGCATTTGCAGTTGGAGAGCGTGCAGAGCGGGGAAACGGCCGGGTCCGGTGCGGGGAAGGGCCGAGGTATTGTTTGCCTTGTTTATCGGGCAGACACATCAAACTGCCGGAACGTACTATAACTACACACATCATAACAACTAGGTACCACTCTATCTACAAAGCAATCTCTCGCACCTTCGCCCGCTCACTAAACCAACTGTCATTCCCCTTCGACGCGGCCTGCCGGATGGCATACAGCTCATCCAGGAACGCAGGAACAAAGCTTCCCGGCCCCCGCACATCCTCCCTCGCCGCCGCGTTCTCGGCAGCGATCTCGTACATCAGAAGACCCGCCAGCACGGCAAGAAGCTTGTCTTTCGGGTTGGCGGCCAGAAAGCATCCAGCAACCGTACCAACAGCACAGCCGGTCTGTTCTCTCATTAGCATATGAAGACAAGAGAGCTGGTCGGTGCACTTACTCCCGTGACCTGGCCGAGAAGTTCGTGGCCGTTTTCCACGGCAATGACGCGCTCACCATCGCTCAGGTAGTCAACCGCACCGGTCAGGAGGACGAGGTTCCCTAGATAATTTGTGAGAATTTATACTGATGGAAGCGTGTGGTCAAACGTACGCTCTCGCTTGGCAAGCTCGAGAGCCAACCGAGCCTTTCCTTGGTCGTCAAGGCTGCTGGGGCCGCTGTCAACACCCCTCTGTGTCACGCCACTGCTCCCGAATACCTGTCGAATTTCACCCTCGTTGCCCTTGATGAGGTCGAAGTATCCCCCCGCCATGAGCTGCTTGACTGCGCCTCGACGGATGCCGGTCGCAGCCGCGCCGACTGGATCGTATACCACCGGGTTTCCGCGCTCGTTGTATGCTTGCAGAGCCTTGAGGTAATTGGGGATGCTCTCGCTGGTGAGAGTGCCCATGTTGATCACCAGGGCACCGCCGAATTGACGGAGGTCGACGGCTTCGTCGCCGTATGGAGACATGATTGGGGAAGCGCCCCTACACGTTATCAGCCCTTTTGTCAAGTATGTGAGCACCGCGAGGGGGTATCGTACATGGAAAGAGCGACGTTGGCAACAAAGTTGGCCACGACATAGTTGATCATATTGTGTACCAGCGGATGAGCCTTTACCATATCTTGAATCGCCTGGGGAACCTGCTTGAGGAGTGCAGTGGTTTCCCGCGCTAAGGCCGACGGCTCACTGTGTACGAATGCAGGTGGGCTGGCAACGAGCTTGACGAACTCAGCCGCGGCAGCCTTGGGATCATCAGCAGCCATTATGCCACTGACGATGGCAACGCCATCCAGGCCCTTGTTCGGCGCACGGGACTGGTACAGGACGCGTTGCACATTCGACTGCTTGATTCCGCCGATGGAGACGGTTCCCACCGTCCGGCCCGTCTCGGAGATGGCTTCCAGAATGGCTTGGGTACCGGCTGTACCGAGGATTAACTTTGTGTTCGTTTTCCTGACCTGGTCAATCGATGTCTTGTGCTGGTGAGTCAACAGATGGCACCTACGTTTGCGTGGCGAACATGGTGCCAATGCCGAGATAGTCGGCACCCGCCGCAATCGCCTTCTGGGCCTCCTCGACAGACCCCGCGCTGATACCGATGATGGCATCCTCCGGTAGAAGCTTCTTGGCTACCTCAATCGCTGCAAGCAGTCAGCGCGGTAGATTGCGAGACGGCGAGGGGAGATGCATACCCATGTCATCTTGGCCAAGGTGGACACCCTCCGCTCCCACGGCCAGAGCAACATCAACACGGTCGTTGATCAGCAATGGCACTCCATAAGCCTTGGTGATCTGGTGCAGCTTCCTGGCTGTCACGATTTGAGCTCCCGTGTCGGCCTTCTTCTCGCGGTACTGCACAATAGTCACGCCTGAGATAAGTGGTCAGTGGGGATGTCTTTGGCAAACAGAGAAAGCACGTACCTCCTTTGAGGGCCTCTTCGACAACAGTACAGAGATCCCGGCCCTTGAGAATGGCAGGGGTCGAGTCTGTGACCAAGTATACAGATAGATCGAGAGCCATATTTACAGACTATCAGAATGTCCTGGGGCTAGAAGATGCGGTTAATTTAGTTTTTCGTGACATTGCGACGAGGGGCACACGTGGGGTGCGGGAGCGAGCCACCAACAATGCAAGTTAATGCAATCGTCAAATTAGTCGCACCCGTGCGGGAAAAATTGATCAAGAGTAAAACATACCCACTGAGAGAAGCACACACACAGTTCAAGACCCTTGGTGAAAGAGACTCGGACGGTTGGAAGAGGCTTTTCGTAATGTCGGGCAGTATGTGGGGACGCCCGAAAGTTAGTCATTCTATACATAGACCAACGACATCCTTGTGGTCGATGGCGATTTGCTGCTGCAAGCTGTTGCACCAATTGTTTTGATATGCATTTTGATAATTTTATTGGTGTCTGAGACAAATGACACAAGGAATGCTACGCTTGAAATGCTGGAAATATCCAGAGAATGGCCTACTGCATAGCACACTGCTATGAATGCCTCGACTATATATTCCACCCAATCCGAGCGAGTGCCACGCAACATGGAGCCGACCTATTCTCTGAGGTTCCTTGCTTGTCCAAGGCATCTCATATTTCACAGTGCCTGAGTTGTGTGTGTGACAAGACAGGTGGCGGTGAGTCCTCAAGCATCAGAGCTACTTCATTAGGAAGATTGGCCGGGATATCTGGTCTAGGACAAGCAGACCGGTCTGGTTGTGTAACTACGGGAGTGGTGGTAGCCTAGCAGGCAGGCCATAATGTCGTAAGTGCTTAGCATCTCTACGTGACATTGAATTGAGACGAATGCATGGCAACCATAGCATGCTTGAGCAGGGTTCATGGGAGCAGGCAGCGGCAGCGGCAACAACCTGACGACACTAACACGATGATCTCGGGGATGAGGTCGGACACAACCACGAGCTATAGCCGCCCAAATATTGTTGCAAATAAGAGTTACCTCGGAGCAGATGTGGAATTAAAAATGAGAGAGCAAACAATAGTTTAGCGACTGGATTGAGTGAATGGGAGCACGTGTGACCGGAAGGCCGGCATCCTCCCTCAATGCGGAGGGGGGCGGCTGACTCAGCGTCCCCATTTTTCATCTCAAATTTTCACTTGGTGGCCATATTGTTCAGGCCGGGAGTCGAAGTGCCTTGCCTTTTTCATTCCTTCCCAATCAGTCCTTGGCACCAAACCGGGTCGGACTTTTTTTGTTTGGGGACCTTTTCTACCTTTTCTACCCTCGCTCGCATCTCCTTCTCTTTCTCTCTTCTCTCTCACCCACTTTCTATCACATCACTTCTCGGTTTTTGTCAACCACCCCCCTTTTTTATCCAACCCCATCGGCGTTATACGCTGCTGTCCCATCAAATCACCCTTCAGGCGACCTTTCTGCCTGCTGGTTTGCATCTCAAGTTTTGTTCACGCACAAGCCACTCCGGTTAGTCTCACTGCCACCATCCTTTCTCTCATTCCTCTACCAGGATTGCGAATCTGACCGTGTCGATTTTCCCTCCCCCCACAGAAGAACCACCCGTTGGTTTCTCTCTTTCCTGCCAGAGAAAGCCACTGAAAATAGAGTCGGTCGAGAACTTGTCTATGTATTCGTCCTGCGTCAGAGATTTCGATCACCACCTGCCGCTCAAGCTGCAATCGTTTCGCTTCACGTCGAAACCTTGTAGTAGACATTCGAAGTCCTGTGGCTGAAAGCTTTTGGGCTGCCCTCCATCGTTCTCGTTCTTAAACGATCGCAAAACAAAAAACCGCCACCATTCCTTCTCAACTAGGAACCTACGCATGTCTTGTTCTTACAAGATATCCCTGGTCCAGAATCCTCCCCGCTTAATATAACCACAACAATCAGTCTTCCTGAAGATATTTATCAAACTCAACCGTCATCATGGCTACTGTCAACATTCGTCGGGATGTCTCCGATCCCTTCTACCGCTACAAGATGGAGCGCCTGCAGTCGAAGATCGAGGGCAAGGGCAACGGTATCAAGACCGTCGTCGTCAACTTGAACTCGGTCGCTCAGTCTCTGGCTCGGCCTCCTGCTTATGTCATCAAGTACTTCGGCTTCGAGCTCGGTGCTCAGGCCAACGCTAAGCCGACCGATGACCGCTGGATCATCAACGGTGCTCATGATGCCCCCAAGCTTCAGGACTATCTCGATGGCTTCATCTCCAAGTTCGTGCTCTGCAAGAAGTGCAAGAATCCGGAAACGGACGTCAACATCAAGGACGAAAAGATCTTCTTGGACTGCAAGGCCTGTGGTCAACGTTCCGAGGTCGACTCTCGTCTCAAGCTGAGCACCTTCATCCTGCGTGATGTCGCCTCGGGCAAGGGAGGAAAGAAGGACAAGGCTTCGAAGAAGGATCGCCGCGACCGTAAGAAGAACAAGGCAGCCAACGGTGACAGCAATGGCAGCCCCGGTGACAGCAACTCCGACAACGGCGATGAGGAGAGCCCCGATGCCGCCCTGGAAGCAGGAAGCGACGACGAGCTCACCCGCCGCATCAAGGCTCAGGCCCAGAACATTGAGGCCGAAGATGAGATTGATGACGATGACTGGGCGGTCGACGTCTCTGAGGAGGCCGTCAAGGCTCGCGCCAAGGAGCTTCCCGATGATCTCAAGCGCACCCTCGTTTTGGAGGATGCCGACGAGGACGGTGCCGATGGCCCGTCCGCCTACGATGAGCTTGGTAGCTGGATCATCGACGCTGCCGCTCAGAAGGGTGGCGTCACTGGTGTCAGCGATGTCGACATCTACATGAAGGCCAAGGAGTATGGCATCGAGAGCAAGCACAAGACTCTGGCTGTTCTCGCCCAAACCATCTTCGACGACAAGATCGTCAAGCAGATCCCCGCTCGTGCCGGTCTTCTCAAGAAGATGATCACGTCCGAGCGTCACGAGAAGGCTTTCCTGGGTGGAACCGAGCGCTTCGTAGGCAAGGACCGCCCCGAGCTGATCGGGCAGATTCCTGCCATTCTGCTCAAGTACTACGAGCACGACCTCATTTCTGAGGACACCCTCAAGGCTTGGGGTTCCAAGGCTAGCAAGAAGTACGTCGACATCTCGACCAGCAAGAAGGTCCGCAAGGCCGCTGAGCCCTTCCTCGAGTGGCTTGAAAATGCCGAGAGCGAGGAGGAGAGCGAGGAGGAAGACGATGAGTAAACTGCCGCCAGCTTGCTGGTTTCTGGTTCTAGACGATCGCTTTCGGGATTTTTGCCACCTGTTGTCTCTTCGCTTATTGTTTTTCTCACCGACTCCACTCATTTGATGCGTATACTCGGTTTTGACCCGCTGTTGCTTGAGTTTGTTGTCTGAGAGGTTTACACAAGACGAGAACAAGTTAGTTAGCTACCAATAAACTTCTCTCCTCTATACATTGATCTCCACCCTAAGAATAGTAAATCCAGATTAGGCGTCGTACCACTTGGTGTTCATCAACTTGCCGATCATTTTTCATATTCAAAAAGTCACCTCTGCGAACTTCAACCCCGTCCCCGGGACGGTCCACTCCTTCAAAGGCTCCTCCACCACCTCACAAATCAAAGGACCACTCCTCGTCTTTTGTTGGATGTTCGACCCAGCTCCGCGAGCCCGGTGCTCCTGAAAGAGAAACCAGGTCAAATCCGCATTCCACGTCTCCAGCGCCTCCAGCGCCTCTTCAATCGACCCTAGATCAGCAGATCGTTCATCAGTTTGATCCTCCCCACCGCCACCGACCCATCCACCTCTACCCCCGTCTTCACTCGATTTCGTCCTCGCCGACCACAGCTCATACACCCCCACCTCACCCGCAAACAAAACCACCCACTCCACCACAAACCGGGCGATCGTATCCCCGACCCTCAGCGGAAGCCGCACGTGCGAGAGCAGGGTAATGAATAGCGGGAGCAAACTGCGCCAGATAGCGTGGTGGGGTGTGAAGGTGCGGGCGCTGGTCGCGTGGAGGGAGAGGGATTGCGTGAGATTGAGGTGGAGGTTTGAGGTGGCTGTGGCTGTGGCTTTGGCTGTGGCTGTGGCTGAATGCGGGTGATTCTCTGAGGGAGAGATGTCGAGAAGCCTTTGGTCGGGTTGGTGGGGTTGATGCTGCCGTGAGCGCCGCTCGAGGGCCTTCTCGGCGTCGTGCCGGACTTTCGTCCACGTTTGGCGGTACAGGCGCTCCCAGCGGGGGAATTCGGATTCCACGCGCGAGGCCAGGAAGTCCCCGGCTGTGTAGCAAAGGGTGCGGATGGCGTGACAGGCGGTTGTGGTTACGTAGGTTTCTTCTTCGAGGGATTCTGGGTTATTTGGGGTTGAGGTAGCGAGGGTTAGGGGTGTCGATGCGGATTGGGGGTTGATGCTGGTGGTAGTGGTGCTGGTGCTGCTGAATGGGGAGGATGGGAAGCTGATTCTGGCGGCGAGGGTGGGCCAGAGGTCGTTGATTAGCGGCAAAAAACTGTTTTCGTTGAGGGAGAGGGTTGGGAAGACGTCGGTGAGGATGGTGAGGAGGGAGCGTCGGAGGTATGGGGACGGGGAGGTGAGGTAGGACGGGATCGAGCGGACGATGTGCAGGAGCAGGGTGTGCGGTTTGCTCAGCGGCTTTTCGCCGTCCTCTGGTTCCTTGGGGGCTGGGAGGGGCTCGTTGGATTCGTCTTCCTTGAGAAGCTCCGCGAGGGTGTTGTCGAATTCGGTGGGGGGTGGTTGTTGTTCGTCTTGGGGTGAGCTCTTCCACGGCTTGCGAGGGTGCGAGATGGGCTCGTCGGGGAGCTCGTGTGTGAGTTTGGCGCGTTTGTCTCGTCGTTGGGCAAAGCCTTGCGCGAGGGCGGAGATCTGCAGGCTTTCGTATCTCTTCTTGCGGTGGTCGGGCTTGGTGGTGCTGCCTTTGCCGTCACTGATTGCCAGCACGGCGGGGGTTTTGGTTCCTTCGTCGACAATGGCTGCTAGTGTTCGGAACATCAGCTCGACGAGCTTGGGGTAGCCGTGGTACATGTCTAGGATGCCGAAGATAGAATCCACCAGATCGTCCAGGTAGGGGATCAGCCGTGCACCGCAGAGCTTCACCATCATCAGCAGCACCTGCGGCGGATAGGGAGATACATCGAAGGTATTCAGCTTCAACGCCACTGAGTTCACAAGGTAATCAACATTCTCTATCACCATAGTGCTGGCGTCTTGGTAGTTGCATGCGTTCGTGAGCAGGTTCAGACATGTCATCGCATGTCTCTGAAGGCCTGGGTTGCTCGAAGCCAGTAATTGGAGGACTGGGTACAATGCTTCCATCAATTCCGGCCGGAAGGCTACACCAAGTTGTTGTGCCTGCAGAGCGACGGCCTCTAACGCAAGAGCCTGTACCCGCCAATCGCGGGAGTCATTAGCCAGTGGCTCGTTTAAGACTGGCAGTGCGATGTAATACAGTTCCTCAATCATGCCAGTCCTGGTTGTGGGTTGGCCTGAGGGTTCAAGTTCGTCGAGCGATATAAAGTCATCGAAGGCCGATGTAGCCTGCAGGTCAATCGTGAGAAAGTTCAATGAAAGCCACAGTGGTGAAATGAGGGAGTCGCCGTGCTCTTGGTAAAGTCGGTTGATGATGAGACGTGTGATTCCGTTGCCGGATTCCGAGGAACTCAGCCTGACGATCATGGTTCGAAGATCGCGCAGTGTGTCGCGCTGGCTTTTATGTTCCATGAGCACGGGTTCGAAACTGACGGCGCTGCGTCCATGTTGCAAGACTTCCATGTTCTGAGATTGTATGGCAGAGGTGTTGAGAGGCTGCAGTGCATTCATTGTGTGGCTCACGGCTGCAGCAACGCTGTCACATATACCTGACGCCAGGCTGCTTTCCAGGATATCGGAACTAGACTGTACTTGTGACAACACCTGAAAGGCAGTCGATATCTGTCTAACTGCCCATTGTTTCGCTGTTTCGTCATTGCCTTGCATAGTCCGTGGGAACGAAGTGATCCAGGTGTGCAGAGAATCCTTGAGGTTATCTACCACGACTGGGTAAGTTGTAGCGTGGTGGGTAAGAGCTGTGAATGCTTCATTCGGTATATTCTTATCGTCCTCGTCGGACAATACGATTAAGGTCTCGACAATGATCGGTAGCGAATCTCGTAGCGTGACTTGACAATCTTCTACCACCATCAAGCATAGTTCACGAAGGGCTGTTTGTACCTCGGGCCGTTCGTGCCGTCTGACCTGTATAACATTGGCAAGCGCAAGCTTGATCTGCGTGGCCGTAGCTTTCAACCAGGAGGCATCAAGCACAAGCGGTTCGTCCGGCTTCTGTGTTTTATCTTGTTTTTCGGCCACCTTCGAAGCTCGATCGTTGAGAACTGTTCTTAGCATGTAGGTGAGGATTTGAAGGCAAAGACTCAAAAGCTTGTAAGAGCGCCGCGTCTGCGTCGTGGGTCTTATCACTTTCGTCAGGGTTGAGACTGTCCGGGGCATGATACTAGCCAGGACTACCCTATCAGTAATGCGATGATAAAGAGCTATGAGCGATTTGGCCGCCGAAATGCACAGCTGATCGGATTGGTCGTCGCTAATTCCTTCTAGCAGGACATAGACCGTTTGATCGACCACAGTGGCGGTACCAACTTCGTGGTAGATGGTGGCGGTGGCCTCGGGACCTTCAAGGACATTAAAGATAGCTGAAAGGCAGTTGAAGCCGGTAATCGACAATTCTGCTGGCCGAGCCTGTGCGGGCTGGCTACCGTTAGCTTTGCTCGGCGTACCTCCCACGATCAAAGTCAGAAGTATCATGAGCTGTTTGCCCATTTGAGAAGATAGTCGTCTCCGCCATCCTTTCTCGATTAGGACTTGCAGACATTTGACAGCAAGCTCCAGAGAGTTGACTGGTGTTCTTTGCGTCTCGTTGAAGACGTGACAAAGAGGGAAGAATGCATACTCCGCGAGCTTTTCGTCCAGGGCATCTTTATTGCCGAGTTCGTTCAGCACGGCGTACACGGACTTCAAAGCCTTGAAGACCTCAGTAGGAGACGCTTGACTCCCACGGAAGCGCAAGCCGACAGCACTCAGTTCCACACATTGTGGTTTGAGCTTCGTTATGCATTAGTCTGGTTCGACATGATACTGAACTGGAGTCACACCTTGGTGAAAGCTTCCTGCCGGGAGATCTCCATCGAATCAGACTGATTTAGGTGTAACGAAAGCGATCATGAAATCTGAGATACTGCAGCCATTGAATAATTCAGTCGACTTATCAAGTAGTCTCCAAGTTAGCTACAGCGGAACATCAGGTTGTGCATTGCAGCGATCAAAAGGAAGCATTATCGATAATCCATCGTCTCCGCCCTCGCGATCACTTTCTGCCCGACTCCCGGGGCGGTAAAGGCGGAGAGGTTTGCATTGTTTGATCTGCAAATGCGTCACTCTGGCTCAACTCAAGTCTTCTACTGAGCTGTAGCAAGACTCGACTCAAGAGTGGGCATTCTCATCAAGCACTGGTGTTGAATGATAAGTTACCCCGGATGTGATTTTCATCGTCCCGTCAAGAACCCAAAGCAACGACACAACTTACCCTAGTTGTAAGCTTCATCACGTGACACTAATTAATTTCGCGTCACGTCACGTCGCGTTAACTTCAAGGCTCCCGTTGAAGCTTAAAGCAATTGGAAGGCAGCAATGTCTACCTAGTGTGCCTGGCCCATGGAAACTGCAGACCCTCAATGCATATAAACTGACAAGCTGGCAAAGTTTATTATCAGGTGAAAGGCGGTAGCAGCGAACGTCTATGCTCTCTTCATACCGTTCCGCGTGTGCTACGCCGTCTTTTCCATTCCTTCGCAGGAATCCCGCCTTTGGCACCACAGCTCCGAGAACTCTGCATTCGACCCTACACTTTGTGCGCCCCCGTTCCTCGCTTGCTCGGACAAGGCCGCTCGTATTCAGTCCCTGCCTGCGATCAGATTATCGTCTTCGTCCCTCACTATCTCTCGCAATGGCGGATTCTAAGGGTCGGAAACAAGCAACTCTGGGGTACGTCAAAGATTCCCAGCTAACTCTCGGGTGCGTCTTTTATGACTGGCGCCTAGGTATTCTCGATTCTTGGACCCGACAGTTTCTCAACTAACATATGATGACAATTTAGGAGGTTCTTCGGATCGAATACCGACGCCCCACGAGATGCGCCTAAAAAGCAGACCACGCTCGCGTTTTCGGGCAAAAGGAGCAAGACCCAGGAGACCGTCGATAAAGCACCAGAGCCAGCTGCTGTCAACGGCGCCAAGGTCAAGGACGAACCCATGGACGAGGCCAAGTCTTCTAGCGCCGAGCCAGAAACGGTGAAAACAAACGACAAGGAGGATACCACCACGTCGAAGAGAGAGAACAGCAGCGAGGATGAAGACAGCGATATTCAGCCCGTACCCAAGCGCCGTCGGAGAAACTCGCAAGCGAACAGATCGACTGCCTCTCCTGAAGTCTCTCCAAGGAAAAAATCAGCGTCCTCGAAGAGTCCGAAGAAGCAAACCAAATCCAATCAACCCTCCGAATCTCTGAAGATTGAGAAAGCTTCCGGGGAAAAGACACCCGAGAAGGAGGAAGAAGTATCAGAGGAGGAGGAAGCACAATCGCTTAGTGAGGATGAGGAAGACGAAAAGCCGGAGGTCAAAAAGAAGAAGATCGAGAAGGTACAGGCCACGCTGAAAGCAAGTGGAAGTGAGCCTTATCCAGACTGGAAAGCTGGCGACCCGGTGCCATATGCAGCACTGTGTACGACCTTCTCATTGATAGAAATGACTACCAAAAGACTGGTCATCCTCGCTCACTGCTCTCTGTTTCTTCGGCAAGTACTGCGTTTGACCCCGCAGGACCTTCTTCCCACTGTCCAGCTTATGATCAACAAACTGGCTGCAGATTATGCAGGCATTGAGCTTGGAATTGGCGAATCTCTGATCATGAAGGCAATTGGTGAGAGCACAGGACGGAGCTTGGCCGTCATCAAGGCTGATCAGCACGAGATTGGCGATCTTGGGCTAGTCGCTGCCAAGAGTCGCTCAAATCAGCCAACCATGTTCAAGCCGAAGCCCTTGACAGTCAGAGGCGTGCATGAAGGTCTTCTTACCATTGCGAAGGTGCAGGGACACGGTTCTCAAGATAAGAAGATATCCGGCATCAAGAAGCTTCTTTCCGCGGCCGATACCGCCGCTGCAGGCAAAGGCAGCAAGGGCATCGATATTACCAAGGACAAGGGCGGACCTAGTGAAGCCAAGTATATCATCCGTTTCCTAGAAGGAAAGCTTAGACTTGGCTTAGCGGAGAAGACGGTCCTTGTTGCCCTCGCTCAAGCCGTCGTCACGCACGAGGCTGAGCTCAGAGGAGAGAAGGCACTCTCTACTGAAAAGTTGGCCCAGGGTGAGGCTATCTTGAAGACTGTGTACAGCGAGCTGCCCGCTTACGAGATTATCATTCCGTTGATGCTCGAGCATGGTCTCTCGAATCTGCACGAGCACTGCAAGCTGCAGCCAGGCATTCCCATCAAGCCTATGCTTGCCAAGCCAACCAAGTCTATCACCGAGGTTCTTGATCGATTCGAAGGAAAAGACTTCACCTGCGAGTATAAGTATGATGGCGAGAGAGCTCAAATTCACTATGTTGCACCCGATTCAGTCAACCAGTACCCCGGAGCAAAGGCGACATTGCAGAGTGGTAGCCAGGGTCTTAGCTCCATCTTCTCTCGCAACTCGGAAGATCTGTCCAAGAAGTATCCAGATGTGCTTGCGAAACTCAACACATGGGTGAAGGGCGGCGTTACTAGCTTTGTCCTCGATTGTGAGACCGTTGCCTGGGATACAGTGAACAAGAAGGTTTTACCATTCCAGCAGCTTATGACCCGCAAGAGGAAGGATGTCAAAGCGGAGGATGTCAAAGTCAAAGTCTGCGTGTTCGCCTTTGACCTGCTGTTCTTGAACGGAGAGGTATGACGTCTGTCATTTGATTATTCAAGCCCAAGACACTGACGCAAATAAATAGCCTACTGTCAAAAAGAGCCTGCGAGAGCGTCGCGAGCTTCTTCATGAGTCATTCGAGACTGTTGAAGGCGAGTTCCAGTTTGCGCAGTATGGGAATACCAACATTGTGGATGAGATCCAGACTCTACTTGATGAAAGTGTAAAGGCCTCCTGTGAAGGGTTGATGGTGAAGATGTTGGACACTGAAGAGAGTGGTTATGAACCAAGCAAGCGGAGCCGCAACTGGCTCAAGGTACGCCAAAGAGAACTGAACTCGACTCGTGTTTGTTACTAACGCCGACATTAGGTGAAAAAGGATTACCTCGCTGGAGTAGGCGACTCCCTAGATCTCGTGGTTTTGGGTGCATATCACGGACGAGGCAAGCGTACATCAGTGTACGGTGCCTTCCTTCTGGCTGCTTACAACACGAGCACACAGACCTACGAGACGGTCTGCAACATTGGCACAGGTTTCTCGGAGGCTGACTTGGAGGAGCTCCATAAACAACTTTCTCCTATCGTCATTGATCGGCCGAAGCCGTTTTACTCCCATTCAACTGTCCCCAAAGATCAACCGGATGTGTGGTTCGAGCCGCGCTTTGTTTGGGAGGTCAAGACTGCTGATCTAACACTGAGTCCGCGCTATAAGGCTGCGGCCGACGAGTTTGAGGGAACGACTGGCGGAGGCAAGGGAATCTCTCTTCGATTCCCACGATTCATTAAAGGCCGCGATGACAAGAAGCCCGATGAGGCGACGACGACTCGGGCAGTGGCGGAGATGTACCGCAAGCAAGAGGCGGTGCAAAAGGAAAATGCTAAGAAGGGAGTAGATGATGACTTTGAGTACTAAGTCGAGAGTTCTGGCTGTTCTGGCGGTCCTATCTATTACGTACATACATACATACATACTGGAAACCCAGGTGCTGTGGTTGAAGTCCCAGCCCGTTTGATTAATCAACCTTGATAATGAATGACTGAGATGTCTGACATATCGGTTACACTCGCATCGCATCCTACTGGGTATCTCCTCATGAACCCACAATATTAGCAAGCAAGCAATCAGACCATGTGAATGACAGCAATGCAAGACACTTAAGGGTGCCAAGCAGCAGTCGGGAATGTGTATCAACTTGGCATTGCAACCCAAGACTTGCAACCCGCCCTTGCTTGTCCACTTTGTTGTTGCTGCTTATCCTGATCAGGCAGGTCCATAACTGACTCCCTCATTTCATCATCGCACTCTCCAAATCACACACACACACACACACACACACTCACTCTCTCTCTCTCTCTCTCTCTCTTCGCCTTCTCGGCCTGGTCTTCTGGACCTCATAAATAGGCCCCTCTGTCCGACTCTCCCGGGTTTGTGTTCTGTGCAACGTGAAATTTCTCACCGGAACCTGGATTGCGACTTGTTTGCGATTGTTCTACAACGTCATCATGGGAGCTCTACGATGGTTCTACATTCTTGCTGCGGCTTCAGCGGCTTCAGCACTGACCCCCGAGTACCTACCCGTGGCGTAATAACAATCGTACTCGTACTGTTGCTGATGTCTCATTTCCTGCAGGCAATTGATTAGTGCTCCGCGGAGAGACGAAGTCATCCCCAACCCATCTGGAGTATGTTGCTTGATCCGATCATAGATCTGTAGAAGACTGATAACACAAGGCTCTCGGTCTCTTCTCCGTCTCCCAGTACTCCTTTGACACCCATTCCGGAAGCTCATGGTGGAGCCTGATTGACCTGAAGTCGGGTGAGACCAGCACACTCACTAATGACAGTAATGTCTCTGAGATCATCTGGCTTGGCACGGATGATTCCACTATCCTCTATATCAATAGTACCAACGCAGACATTCCCGGTGGTGTCGAGCTGTGGGTCTCAGATATCGCAAACTTCCAGAACGGGTAAACCCATAATGCTCCGTTCACTGTTGATGAATGATACCTGACAATGACATGCAGATACAAGGCAGCCTCCCTGCCAGCGAACTTCCTCGGTCTCAAGACAGCTGTCACGGACTCGGGTGATGTACGGTTCATCCTTCGTGGCAAGGCTTATGGCAACGGCACGGCCTACAATGAGAAGCTAGCTGAGAAGTCCCTAAGCTCCGCTCGCATCTATGACAGTCTCTACATCCGCCATTGGAATACGTACCTTACCCCACCCTCTCATGCTGTATTCTCGGGTACATTGAGCAGCTCGGCTGGAGGTAACGGCACAGGTCGTTATGCTTCGGAAGCTGGTCTTACGAATCTGGTATCCCCCATCAAGAATGCTGAGAGCCCTTATCCTCCCTTTGGAGGAAACTCGGACTATGATCTTTCGCCCGACGGCAACTGGGTAGCTTTTAAAAGCAAGGCCCCAGAGCTACCTCGTGCCAACCTTACAACTTCTTACATCTATCTTGTGCCCCATGATGGTTCGGAGAAGGCTGTCGCGATCAATGGACCCAAGAGTGCCGTCACTCCTGCTGGGGTTCAAGGAGATTCTAGCAACCCCGTCTTCTCTCCCAACAGTGACAAACTTGCATACTTCCAGATGGAAGACAGACAGTACGAGTCCGACAGGCGCACTTTGTACGTCTATACTATCGGTGCTAATGAGTCCATCGCCACACTTGCCAAGAACTGGGATCGATCGCCGGACACAGTAGCTTGGGTCGATTCAGACAATCTTGTCGTTACAAGTGAGGATTACGGTCGAACCAGGCTTTTCGCCATTCCAGCGGATGCAGGAGATGACTTCAAGCCGAAGAATTTCACCGACAGTGGCTCTGTAGCGGCGTATCATGTCCTGCCAGATTCCACTATCCTTGTCACCGGAAAGGCCATGTGGACAAGTTGGGCTATCTATACAGCTAGTCCCGACCAGGGGGTCATCAAGACACTGGCATCCGCCAACGAGATTGATCCCGAGCTTGCTGGATTGAGCTCTGCTGATATTGATGAGTTTTATTACCAAGGTAATTGGACCGAGGTAAGTCTAGTATACCTTGCTTCTTCTCAGCGGACAGGCACTAATCGGGCTCTCAGATTCATTCCTGGATCATCTATCCGGAGGGCTTCGACAAGAGCAAGACATATCCTTTCGTTCTATACATCCACGGTGGACCCCAAGGCTCATGGGCTGATTCCTGGAGCACGCGCTGGAATCCCAAGGTCTTTGCCGATCAGGGCTACGTCGTCATCGCCCCGAATCCAACGGGCAGTACTGGCTTTGGAGATGCCCTCACCGACGCCATCGCAAATGACTGGGGTACGACCAGAACCTTTTTCTCTCCACTCCTTGGAATATGACCATGCTAACCATACTCCAAGGAGGCGCTCCCTACGACGACCTCGTGAAAGCCTGGCAGCACGTCCACGACAAATTCGACTTCATCGACACCGACCACGGCGTCGCTGCCGGCGCCAGCTACGGCGGATTCATGGTCAACTGGATCCAGGGCTCGGAGCTGGGCCGCAAGCTCAAGGCGCTCGTCTCTCACGATGGGACATTCGTTGCCGATGCGAAGATCGCCACCGACGAGTTGTGGTTCATCGAGCATGACGTGCGTTCCCCCTTTCTCCTTTATATCCACCCTCTATTCTCATCACACCTGCCCCCCCTCCTTACCCACCCCCCATCCAAAGCCAACCCTCCCTAACTCCATGCAACATCACAGTTCAACGGCACCTTCTGGGCCAACCGCGACAACTACCGTCGCTTCGACCCCTCCGCCCCCGAACGAATCCTCCAGTTCTCGACCCCGCAGCTCGTCGTTCACAGCGACAAGGACTACCGACTCGACGTGGCCGAGGGCATCGCCTTGTTCAACGTCCTCCAGGAGCGCGGCGTGCCGAGTCGGTTCTTGAACTTCCCCGATGAGGATCACTGGTGCGGTTTGCCCTTTCCGCTTTCCATTGTTATTTCTTGAAATTGTGCGAAATCGCGACTAATCCATGCAAACTATAGGGTCACCAATCAGGAGAACAGCCTCGTCTGGCATCAGCAGGTCCTTGGTTGGTTGAATCGGTACTCCGGCGTGGAGGAGTCGAACCCGCACGCCGTCCGGTTGGAGGACACGGTGGTTCCGGCGGTAGATTTTGACTCTTGATTTCTCAGGCTGGGTGGATGGCTTTCCATCTCCTGTGTCTACTGTCTCCCTCGATGCTCTTGGGGAGATAACTGGTGGCAAAATACTAGACCACTAGGTGTTCATTTGTGCATTCAAGCTACGACCTGCTGCGGTGTGTAGACGGGTTCCGTAGACGGTTCCGTGGACGGTTCTCCACTCCGTATAGCCACTATCCCTTCCTACGTTGAAAGCGAATCGATCTCGACGATCTCCCCATGTGAATGTCGTCATATCTATGCATACTGCAAATCAAGAAAGATATCCAATCATACATCAAATTATCATCACTCCAGACGGTGGTATAGCATAGTATGGTATCAACAATCGGACCAAAAACAAAAACAACAAACAGGCACATGCACATGCACCGACGCATGACTGGGAAACAATTCCTTTTAGAACAAACACATGACATGAATAGGTAGGTGTATACACTTCATCAACCAATCGCCGACTCACACACTTGCCGTTCGCAAATCGACACTGGGATTCTCTTCTTCCCTTCTTCTTTCAATCAATCAGCCAGAACACACAACAACGAGAACAAACCAAGACTCGCCGGAGAAAAAAGTCTTCATGATATATAGCCTCTTCATCGTCGTCATCATCCTACTAAGCCAGAGAATAACATCAAAACACAACTACTGGAGCCCAAAATACTCAGTCAGAGAGTGTTTTGCCCAAGCTCATGTGGCAGATTACAACTCCCCACCATGAGGAGGGGTGACATCCAGGTCAAGGTCGAGACCCCCGGGCCCGTCCTTGGCCAAGAACCCTTGCTGCCGGACGCGGAGCCCGAAGTTGACCATGACGATGGCTACCAGGCCCAGCCCGACGACGGTGGGGCCCCACTTCTCGTAGTACACGCGCTTGACGTCGCGGCGCTTGCGGATCTTGTCGACGCGCCAGATGTACAGCATCAGACTGTAGATTAGGGACAGCGAAGCCAGGATGGTGAACGCCCACGAGGACGCGAAGGTGATGTAGTCGTCGCCGAAGTTGAGGAGGGTGGCGGCGATGGTGGCGAGGAGGATGGAGAACTCGAGCCACGAGAGGAAGGTGCGCTCGGCGGCGAAGTAGACTTTGGGCTCGACGCGGACGGGGACGTGGATTCCTGGGAATTGTGTTAGAGTTCGTGGTTCTTGTATGGGTAAAATGGCTCAGAAAGCTAAGGGAGGGAGGCGGGGCCCGCAAGACTCACGTTTGCCTTTGGGAGCGTGGAATCGCTTGACAGTACGCTTGTTGCCGATGACGGCGATTCCGCTTTGCTCGGGTGCTGGGAGACTGGTGGGTGTAGGTCGCGGGATGAGGGATTTGAGCACATGGATTAAGATAGATCCGGCGTGCTCGGTGTAGTATTTGGCCAGCTGCTTGTAGTAGTATGTGCCTCCGACCCGACGAGCTTCTTCCAATTCATCTGAGTCGATTGAAGATTCTTGATCCGAGTCATACAGCGGGTAATCCTCGTCGCCCGGAAGCGGTAGAGCGGCGATGCGTTCCTCAATGTCTAGCGCGTTGCCATCTGAGTCTGCGAAGAGCGCATGGTGGTCAGCATCGGTAGCTTCGACTCGATGCACACCATTCGGCCACTGGCCTGCGCTCTCATCCTCATCCTCCGAGATTTCGTCTTCCGGGGTTTCTGCCGCGGATAATGAGGTGCTGGGCAGCGGGCGCGTGATTCCAAACTGGCGGGTGGCTGGCTTGCGGATGTCGACGTCCATCTGCGGCATCCAGAATGGCAGGAGGTTGATACGGTCAGGGAAAAGCGTGGCCGTGCCGTGGATAAATTTACTATACTTTGGAACAGCCTCGACCAGATGGCTAGCTGTCAGCTCCCTAATCCACTTGGGTGGCTCCTGGCCCGCCTGTGTTTGAAGCTTGACTTCCAGCACGGCATAAGGGAAACGCTCCACGTCCGCGGGGGGCAATTGTGAGAACGGATAATCAACACCGATGTCCATGCGACGCCAGTTGTCGCCAGCTCTACGGCGACCGTCAAGGTTGTCCTCTCGGACCATTGTCAACTCAGTATCAAGAGAGATACGCACACGTGCATCTCCGGGAAGCTGGAAGGCTGTGCGGTGGTAGAACGATCGGGTGACTGGTACTAGTCGTCGCGTGATGACTCGATACTGGATTTCCCGCGCCAATTGCTCGAGGTTGGCGATTTCCTCCTCGCTCTTCTTACCTTCCCTGCGCATCTTCTCGAAGATTTGTTCCACCGTCATGCGACCAGCCAGGTAGTCATTGACATGCTTCTCTTTCAGCGAGAAACGCGCCTTGACCGACTTCTCTCCAGTCCAATCCTCCCGGTGGGTCTTGCGCTCCACGAAGATTTGATCGCTCTCCATGCCACCATACCAACGCAATCGGATAGCCTCCGCACCTTCGGTCTTCTTCAGGCGACCTTGGTATAGTTCCCAGGTATCAGTGTTGTCGTAATAAATAGATGAAATAGCAGCGTCCTTCTCCTCAAACTCTTTACTTGGGTTGAAGACCAGAACGGGAAGGTGCTATTTCGTCCTATTAGCACACACGAGGGACTTGACGAATCACGGTGAGCTGCTTACCTTGAGGATAATCAGTTTGAGCTCGGTGATATTGTCTGGGTGTACCCAATACTTGGTAGTCTGACGGACAAAGTTCTGCTGGCTTCCACCGGCCGCAGAATCGCCCTTGACGGGGTTACCCTTGGTCCGCACAAGATCGTAGAGCTTGGACAATTTAACCACGAGCGCATCATAGTTATCGTTGAAAAATGGCTTGGCATTGAGGCGCGCAGCGAATACTGGCTTCAGATGCCACCCCGTTTGTTTCTGCATGTAGCCGTTAGCGGGCGCTTCAGTTCCCAAAACCGTCCCATTCAGTGGATGATGTCATTCCGGTTTTTAAAAGACCACTCACATCATGCTTCTTGATGATTTTCTGAAACCCCGTATAGTTCAATTGCGTGAATTTGGCCAGATCATGTACGTCGGCGATGATTTCGCTCAAGGCCTGCTCGAGCACCAGGAAATCCTCGTCTGAGGGCGGACTGCGGTTGGATCGGTTGTGGGAGACACTGTCGGAACGGGCACTGGTGGCAGCGTCAAGGCGCGACACGACAGCATTGACCTCTTGTTCGCTCGCCTGAATGCGACAAGCGATCTCGGCGCTCTTGATACGCTGGAAGTTGAAAACCTTGTCCAATTCGCTCTCCAGCAGCGTCACGAAGTGCTTCTCGTCGTCTTCCGACCAGGGCTGGCGATCGGGGCTGGCATTTTCGGGAGTGCGCTCCGTGACATAGCCGGTCTTCAGGGCTTTCTTGAGTTCTTCATAGGCGATGTAGTACCAGTAGTACTCCTTGACCATGGACGATCGGAGGTGCTCCCCGAACCTGGAGAGAAGGGTGGAATGGTGAGTGGAGCAGTTTCGTCGTCGAAGGAGCAATTGGAGTGGACCAACCTCATACTGCAATATTTCGAACGAGTCGCGCAGATATTCGAGTGAGCTGGGTGGATGCGAAGGGTGAGAGTAGGTAAAGTAGAGGAAGAGAATGGGGTGGGCAAGTGTCAGGTAAAGAACATGATGCGGACGCAGGGGGGAAGGCGGGAAGGCGGAGAAGACGTTGGAAGCGAGACTGAACGAAGAAGGAATAGGCAGGTCAACTGAGAATTGGGGGGAAAAATGGAGAATCCGAGAGACGACGACTAGTTTCAGCAGAAGCGACGAGAATGGAGAAGTTTTTCTTGGGCGATGAGTGAGAGACAGGGTAGTTAGAGGGGAGAATGAGCTATGATGGATAGCTTCGAGGTTCTGGCCATGAATTGGGGGGCCCAGAAACGACGTCAACCCGTGACTGCAATCGATAACACGGCTCCATTAGTGGTCCGGGCGCGTCTTATTCATCACTACCTCAGCCCTCGAAGGCAACAAAACCATGGTAAATTGGCCACATCAATCGACCGAAGTGGCGGTTGGTTGCGCGGAGTGGTGTTGTTTGAGTTGACCAGTAAACTAGGTAGGGGACTACATCTCAACTAGGTAAAGCATTACTGGAGAGGCGAGCATACTAAGTCAGTGATAGTGTCAAAATTGTTTGCTCATGGATTGTCAGCCAGTCGATTTAGCAGGTGCTGCTCTAAACCAGGGCGCTTTGCTGCCTTAGGTTTAGCCCGAGTCGACACGAGGTTTGCAGCTCTTCTCCACCCGCTGCCGCACCGCTGCGATCGTCCCCAACCTTGCCGTCCCATTCTCATTCTTCTTCTCTTTTCACGGCGGGTAGGATCGGTATAACACTGTCTTCTATTGAATTGTACAATCCGGCAAATGACTCGACTGGCCCCCGTGGGCCTTGAGAAGCCCTCTTGCATCAACCGAGTCCATTCGCACGGCGCGAAAACTGCTCTAGGGTTCTGTTCTATCTCGGAATAGCCGAGCACTATATATATTTGACTCACCTGGATTACTTGCTGCCTATGTCTCTCCTCTCGCCTGTCTAGTCTAGACCGATCCGCTCCGATTCAAAGGACTAGAACTCATCAAATCACCAATTAAGATGAGCAGCGATGCTAACCGGGTACTAGACTACGCCAGTGGCTAACATGCAGCTAGCAGGATAGATTCTGCAATTCATCCCACCAGGCTTTAATACCGAGACTGATATTGGTAGAACTTAAGACTGTAGTCTAGTTTCTACACTAGCGAGCCCCTGTTACAATCAGCAAACAGGCCGGTGTTTGAATGTGGTTCGGGACTGGATCGCAACAAATAACGTAAATTGCCCAACAGCACTGGGCCATTGAGCCACGTGCTCTTTGGCCGGATTGGAATCTTGACTAGGCACGCCGGCGCCCAGCACAGCAGCGCAGTGTCCCAACCGAGAATGTGTTTCTCCATCAGTGATACCGACTTTGCATGGTCGTGAGATGGTGCACATATCAAAAAGTTAGTTGCAACATCTACAGGGCGTGCATCAGCCCTGCAGTGAGATCGAAGATACTAGTCATTCAGCCACCGCCGCCCGCGTAAGTCAATAATAAACATGTAACCGTAAGTCCCTGCATTGACCTTCTACGAGCTAAGCGTCGCTGGGCATAATTCCTCCAATCGGTTCCAACTGTTGCGCATGCTTAGCACCCCGAGTAGAGATATCCAGGAAGCTATCGCCGAGTGCCTGTAACCCTAACAATCATCGCTCAACTCGTAGTGTCAGACTAATAACATCCAGCGCTAACAAATAAAGATGAACCATGTTTCTTCAAATTCCGTTTGTCAGCTACAGAGCGGAAAAAGGGCAAGCCTTCTCGTAGAATAGTTTTTTGTTTGTTACAACGAGTTATGGCTTGTCAATCACAGCAAGATACAGCACAGTCCAAAGCATCAACCGGCCGGTTGCCTGAGGCCGAGTCTACATTGTAAAGCTTTGACAAGATCAACCCTTGATTGAACCCATGATCTATGGGAATGATTATGACACTTTGTCGAAGTGTGTCTAAACACCCTAAGAGGCCCCAAGAAATGTAGGTTGAAACACCTAGCTTTCCCAGCATTTGTCGAGCCTGGTCATACAGAAGTACCTTGTGGCCTGAGGTGTCAACTGACTATTGCAGACTATCAAGTCCTCGTATATCCTCTTGGCCGACAGAAGGGATAGTGTAATGGTACCAGCATCGCATACTCCTGGACTGCAATGGGAATATAGACTCTGCTAGAGTTCCAGGCACCATACCCTGCACTTCAAGTCACCTATCCCAAGGACCTCAGACATGGGTGATACTGCAGCTTCGGAACGTTCAACAATCCTTCTTGCTGAGATTGGACGAGTACGATTTTGTACTGTGACTCGTGAGATAGGCGTTACAGGGTACCAGGCTTCATGTGAACCATTAAGATTTTGTATGATTGACCAAGGAGTAGTCGCACCCTAAATTATGTAAACATGCCCAGGATATGAACAAACACCAGGCGCCATCCTCCCATTGCAAGCGACCAACACAAATCACACCTATCCGAGAAGCTATCTAGTCCGTGGCATCATGTTTCTCATCAACTAGTCGCCCTTATATGGCGCTCAGGGCAGAGCTCCGGCGGCGCGTCGGATACTGCGTCGCGGACCATCACCCAGGATATTGACCGCGCCCTCCGTCTCCAATGCACGGACAGCATCGTTGAATTGGGCGTTATCCACGCCAGCACTGCTCTGCTCGTTCAGAACACGGTAGACCTCGGCCCAGCGGGCGCCGCCGGTGGATCCGGCCAGCTCATCGACCACGGCGAGCACGCCACGCTTGATTGCCTCGCGATTGCGCCGCTCACTGGCGCTGGTACCTTCGGTTAACAGACCCATGTCAATGAGACCGGTACGGGCGTCCGTCGCGGCTTGCTTAATGGCCGACCGGATCAAACGCACTGCTTCCTCCACATCGTCCGCCGTGACTTCAGTTGCCAAGCGCATACGTGCGTGAGCCTCGGAGAGACGAATCATCGATTCAAGTTGACGGGTGGTGGCTGTGATACGGCGGTCTGCCGACCGAATGTCGTCACCCAGTTTGCGCATGTTGACATAGGCGTCGGAGAGCGCTTTGCCCGCAGCTGGGGTGAGCACTGGGTGCACCCGAGTTTTGGCGTAGGTGATGTAGGCCGTCAGGAATTCAACCGGCTGCGAGTTGCATTGTTAGTAATAATACCCAATGAAGAAGTGAACTCCAACTTACCAAGATTTCTTCGTTGCTTGCATTCTCTGGCTTATCTTCCAGGTACATGTTCACCAAGTGCTTGGCCAGCCGGCGGTCTTCCTGCTCATCGGCCCGATCCAGAACAAGATACACCAAGTCAAATCGAGAAAGGAGAGTAGGGGGCAAGTCGATATTTTGGGGAACGGGGAGATTGGGATTATAGCGACTGCCGATCGGGTTGGCCGAAGCCAGAATACTGGTACGAGCATTGAGGGTGGTAATGATACCAGCCTTGGCAACTGAGACGGTTTGCTGCTCCATCACTTCGTGCAGAACTGACCGCGTCGATTCGTTCATCTTATCAAACTCGTCGATGCAGCAAATACCGCCGTCAGAGAGAACCAAAGCACCAGACTCAAGAACCATCTGGCGAGTCTCGGGATCACGAGTCACATAAGCTGTAAGACCGACAGCCGAAGAACCTTTGCCGCTGGTATAGACACCGCGTGGGGCGATCTTGTGAACATAACGAAGAAGCTGTGATTTGGAAGTGGAGGGATCACCGCAGAGCAAGACATTGATGTCGCCACGATAGCGTGGGTTACCTCCCTTTTCGAAAGTCTTGTTGGTGCCTCCAAACATCTGGAGCAGGATGCCCTTCTTAACATCATCCATTTCGTAGACACTAGGTGCCAGGGAGCGTGACAGCAGCTCATAGATGTCGGGCCGGGTGGCGGTTCGCTTGATCTTCTCCTCCTCTTCAGCTGTGATCTTGCGTACCTGCTCAGAGTCCCCAGCAGCTTGTTCCGAAAGCTCTTGTTCGACAGTGGAAGCATCAATACCCAGCTTCTTGCGATCGATTTTCTGTACGTGCAAGACGTCCACATAGGTCTTGAAAAGAGTCTTCTGGGTCCGCTGGCGAGGGTTTACACGCACAGGATTGCATCGGAAGATACCAGTAACCTCAACACGATCACCAGCTTTGCAGACATCGACCAGCTCGTCGTACACGCACAGGGAAACAGAGTGGGGCGTTTGTCCATCAGGAATACTGTCAGGAGTTTCTTGGAGTTTGATCACCTGCTTGTCGGCAAAGGCACAGCGGTTGTGGATAAGCTGCATCGAGTTCTTGGCCTTGCAGATAGGGCGGGGACATTCGGCGGGCTCTGCAATCCTGCCACGATCGATATCGACCTGAACGCTGTGGTTGCAAATCTGACAGCGGAAGAAAGCTGGGGAAATATATTAGAAGGGTTGGTACGACCAACGTACGGGAAGCGGCTTACCCTCTTTCATGTCGGGGATGATAGGAGTGGTTCTGATGACCAGACCCTTGATGCTAATCAACTTATCCATGTCTGCATCATGTCAGTATAGGGGAGCACAGTGACGAGTAGACGAACTGCACATACCAGCAGGGTCAAGATCTCTCATGTTCACTGCAGAGTCAAGGCCAAAAGGCATAACTTTATACGAGTTCGATTCAACTTCCTGGACGAGGTCTTGGATTTCGGCCTGTGGAGCCCGGCCAGCATCACTCATGAGCGCATCGGAGCTGGGAACCGCAGGTGCGGAACTCAAATCCCTTGACTGGTTCTGGCGGTGCCGGCTGTTACTCCGTTGGCGCTGCATCTCCTTACCTGCAAGCTCAACCATGACATCCTTGACAGTTTGATCCATCAGAGGAATAATTTC